TTTAGGAGAGTCGTGTATGTAAATTAAAGCATAAAAGACATGTTTTCCCAACTGAGCTTGCAAGATTTTCTTTCACATTTGTGTTTGCTTATTCTTTATTTGGTGATGCTAGGGACGGAAACCAAAAGCTCCATTCATAGCCGACAGGCACTGTGCCAGGGAGTTACACCTGCAACCCTGCACAAGTCTGATAGAGAAGGCCACCTCCTAGTCAGTACAAAGTTTTCTGGAATGGAACATATCTAAAACAGAAGAAAACATATTGTTGCTTTTTTTCTTGCTCTATTAATGTTTAAATAAAATTTAATATATATGTAAATAAGATTTGTATATATATGTTATATACTTATATTTGTAGATAATGTCTATTTTATACAAATATAAGTGTTTGATATATATTTATACCTAAATATATATATATATATTTCTGTCTTTTCCTCCATGCAACCCTTTTTATTATTTGACAGCCATGTGTCCATTCATTTTTTTTTCTGTTTGGGTATTTGTGATATATCCACATGTGTGTACATGTGTACATGTGCATCTGTATGACTCAGAGACCAATAAAAAGGTATCTTCTTTTATCACTGATAAATACATTATTTAGAACCAGAAGCTCAACAATTTGGTTAGACTAGCTGAAGAGAAAATCTTTTGGATCTGCCCTGCCTTTCTTGTGCAGCACTGAGGTTCCCTAAAGAGGACTGCTTCTGGGAGAAGTTGGGCATGGCTTCTGATGTGCCGACCATGTTCCAGTGATTGGCCTCACCCCTGTGAGGACTGAGGGAGCACAGCTCTGACTCGGTGCCTTGTTTTATAGGAATAAAAAGAGGGCAAGTAATGAGAGGGGCTGCGGAGTTGGGAGTGGATCTGGGAAGAGTTGGGATTGAATATGATCACGATACATTGTGTAAAATTGCCAAATTAAAAAAGAATTAATGAAAATAAAAAGAGAGGATTGTGTCAGTTGTGATGAACACCTAGGGCTGATTTTTTCCTTTTATTTTATTTAAAACAAAAGAAAACAAAACCCACCTTTTTCATTTTACATACCAATCCCAGTTCTCACTCCTTCTCCTCCTTCCATTTCCTTCACTACCACCCTATCCACTCCTCAGAGAGAGTAACACAGAACCAAAGCTCTCTCTACTATATCTAGGCCGAGCAAGGTATCTCTCCAAAGAGAATGGGTTCCAAAAAACCAGTACAAGCAGTAGGGATAAAAATCCTGGTCCCACTGCCAGGGGTCTGACATTCTGCTCCAGCCCTACGGCTGTCACCCACACTCTAAGGGTCTAGTTTGGTCCTATGCTGGTTCCTTCCCTGTCCGACTTCCCTGTTGGTGAGCTCCTGTTAGCTCAGGCAAACTGTTTTAGTGTGTGTCCCCATCATGGTCTTGACCTCTTTGCTCATATTCTCACCCCTCCCACTCTTTGACTGCACTTTGGAAGTTCAGCCCAGTGCTCTGCTGTGACTCTGTAGGGCTGAAGTTTTAAACAAGAATAGGTCCAGTAGAGTGTCCAGAAGTGTTGAGTGATAAGCAAAGGCTTTTTTTTTTTTTAAAAAAAACTTTGTTAGGAAATTAAAGAGCATATAGGTTCTTAAATTAGGCATCAATATATTGAACTACTTTCATCAGTTCCCTGCTTATATAGATTAATTTATAATTGACTTAGAACTGCTTTTTAAATTTTTATGACTGATGTTGGAAAGAACATGCTTTTAAGTTGCTTTGCATATTTAGGTCTTATTGAATGTATAAGTTATTTAAAAGCTGATAATAAGAACTTCGAATTGGTGGGGAATTCTTACACGCATTCCTTTTAAAGCTCAATCTTCTGCTTTAGTAAAATCACTGTCTTCTTTAGAGTATTTGTGTAGACTTCTCAGGAGTACGAAGATATAACTAGATAGTCCATGCATTCTTACAGTTTTGCTCTGCGTGCTGGTGTACCGTTTGGTTAAAAATTTGCTATATGTTGCATAGCATATCTTTGAAGTTCCTACATCGATTTGGTATTTGGCACAGTTTATTTTGTGCAGTTGACTGGCCGTGCAGTTGCTTTCACTCTATTATCCTTTGAACACGATTCTAAATGCCCCAAGCGCTGCCTCTGCATTTTCTGTCTGCTCTCACCTTACTTCTTTAGGGCGAACTCTACTTGAGGCCTCCTTTTGTTCCCTCACTTGTGATTCATAATAATCCGAACCTACACAACCTCCTGCCTTTACCCAGGGTGCCATCTCTCACTCCACCCTGCTTCCCGGGCAGCACTTAGTCATCATTTTATTTGCTTGATTATCTGTTTAATGTTTGACTCCCTATGCCCATTGTAAGCTCAGTAAGAAGACGATTGTATCTATTATGTGGCACTGTTGTATATCTATTGCCCACGGAGGACTAAGCATGTAGTTGGTGTTCAGTAAGTATGTGTTAAATGAGGTGAACAAATATCATTCAGGCCGATTAAGTTTTGCTCCAATGTTTTTTAAGCACAAGAGTCTTAATTGCCCTAAGGAAGCCTGTAAGCTGTTTGGGAGTTTCCACAATTATTAGAATAATTCCATTTTTCTTATCTATTGATTTATATTTGAAACAAAGGGCACATGTGTTATCTTAAATAGTAACTATTGATCTTTATGTAGGTTCGTTCTTAAGATTACTGTCTGAAAGCACCCCCTAAAAACAAGGTTTGGTTGTATCACTAAGGATTTTTCCAGTGAAACAGTTGCATAAATTTTCATGGATATTAGACTAACAATGCAGACAATAACACAGAAATTCCCAGTACACAAGTTATTATTGCCTGAAAGCTGTTGGTGAACAGTTCTCTCTGAACTGCTTAGGAATGTGCTGCCATTTGTTGGGTAAACAGAATATAGTGAGAATTTCATTTTCACAGACTACTATGATCTTAATGCCTCGTGAATACATTTGTGAATGGTAATATTTAGTTTAATATTAAAATATATATTAATTTTCTGATAGAAATTGAGAAACTATTGATGATTGATTTATTGAAGAGTTTATCTGTGCAAGGCAGTGTCCAGAGACATACTAGTCATGTACAGTCCATGGTTTAAGGATTCTGTTTTTAAGTTTGGCTGAAAAGGGGATAAGGGGTCTAAAAAGCAAATAGCATTAGGAATACTGAGGGGACACAGTTTCAACAACATGGTGATCCACTGAATAGTCACCAAAAGTAGTGATACTAAATGTAGGTATCTATACATGAGCAAAGTTTCAGTAGGTGAATTGGTAAGACACCTGTGTGCCTACTGTATATTGGCATAAGAGTTTGACTTTCAGACAAAACAGGGAATAAATAAAAGCATCAAGTGATAAGGAAACTAATTGATCTGTTGCTACGGTACCTCAATCACAAACCTAGTCTGGACCTAATGTCAACAAGCTTTCTATAGGCTTCTTCAAGGGTTAAATTTATACAGGCCAAAACCAGGAACATATCCAGATCATACGTGAATAGACATTTTATCTCCTTCTTCTGCTGAACTGAAGAATAATGACATCAGTTACAGACTTTCAAAGTCTGTCTACAGAGTAAGCGTTCCTCTCATAGGCAGTGATAACTAATGGATGCAGAGATCATCTATTGGTTTATTTCTCCTGGGAGAAGTCGTTGCACGAGAGAACATAGTTCTGACACTATCTATGCAGATAAGTGGCTTGTGTTTGCAATGAAAGATGATTGTAAGAGTTAGAAATATTTATTTCTGAACTTGACAGGACATTAAAGCCTGATTTTATTTTGAAGGCAAACTATTTAATATCCAATTTTGGTCCTCTTCATAAACATTTGTGTCTGTGGAAACTTTGACAAGTAATATTAAAAGGCTACTGCATCTGATTATTTGAGTAAAATCCAAGGTTGATTTTAACATTGTCAATATAAAATCAGTTAAAGGATATTGTTTTCATTTGCAACCTAATAAAACTAACCACATTATTTGGACTGATTTTATTCAGCCTACCTTTACTACTGAAATACCTTAGTGAATTACTGCCCTTGAATTTATTAACTTTTTTCTCGATAGTAAGCTATATTTGTATTGCATTTTAAACATACCATTAATTGACAGAATGCAAGGACAAGAATCACTCATGACTATTAGATCTCCTCAACTTTCCCAGCCTGTCATATTTTATAGAATGAAAGTTTGTAGGTTATGGAGTTCAGTTGGAGACCTTTATCTGTGAAAGTTTAATAGCTGACTCCAGTAAACAGTGATTTATGTAGTAGTAAATATGATTAAAGGGGAGGGATTGTTTTCTATTGATCAAACAGTAAAGTAGTGGGGATTAAGTTTGTATATAAGGTCATCTACTCTCTGCACATATTTTGCTGCCAAAAATGTTTTATTTATAAAAATACCCATTTGATAGAACCTAAGTAAATGTTATTTGAACAAAATCATGGGCAACATGCAGGTTTTTTTCTTTCTTTCTTTTTTTAAACAAAGTCTACATTACTACAAAACAACAGGTATATGGATTTTATGCTCTCTGGTGTGAGTTTGAATACCTGGTATTTAAAAAATTAAACTAGCATTTAATAAGGTTGTTGTGCAATGAAAGAATGAGTCTATAAATTACAGCCAGTTCTTGCTTTATCAATGTGGCTACCCCTGAGTTGTGTAACTGGAGACAGACAGATGGAGTCAGCTCCCATTAAAACAGAGTTTCTCTCTCGGTGGACTTCTGCATTCTGGCAGATCGAGGATGGGATCTGAACAATAGCCAACAGTGATTGGCTCAAAGATAGTCTTTGCCAGTGCATTCTCATGTACTATGATGATAGGGCTGTTCCGATTCCTGTGCCTCGTTCTGTGCCTCCCTTGCTTCTCCCACTCACGTTTGCCGAGTATGTTTTAAGCCCACTGTTTTGTTCCTTGTGAACTAACTGTTTAGAGGTAAGTGAAGAGTTTGCTAAATAGGGCATTTGCCACATAATCTTTTCCTTTTCCTTACTCTTCTGCAGATGCCGATTTGAAGAGCTACCCTGAAAACTGGTGAGTGGGTTGTCCAATGCCCAATGACGATGTGCCGTCTTGGGCATTGTGTTTTTCTCTCTCTTCCTTCCCAGTGCCTCTTCTATCTGATGCACGTTCAGTTTTGCTCTTTCCTTTGGCTTCCTTTGACAGACTGTCAAGGACAGCGGAAGAAAAAATCTGATAGACGTGTGGATCAGTGCTATTACACCTGTAAGGGTTTTAGCCTCCGCTGAACCTTGAGTGCCACTCAGCGAATCCTTGCTGTCTCTCTGTCTGCTCCCTTTCTCATCTATCATGTTCTTTGTGTTTGCACGTGCTGTTCTTTCCCTGAAATGCTCTTTTAAAAGGTTTCTTTCTAGATGAAGGCTAGTCATCCTTCAAGTCTGGACTGGCTGGTACCTCAGTTTACTAAGCTTTGTAGTCTGCCTCTTGCTCCTCCATATCTCCCCTTGGCATTATCTCCAGCACAGTGAGTTTATTTCTTTGCGCTGGACTTGTGCACCATCAGCAGTGTTGCCGTTAGGTTAGGCACTACATGAAATTACTGAAGGCCATGCCCACACTTCTCGAATTGTTTCTTTGTTCATTGTGTGGCACATGGTTAACATTATACTGGATCTGCTAAATCAGTCAAGTGCCTGGAAAAAAATGTCATCCACGAAATGCTTCCTGCTAGAGGAACAAGTGCCACCATCTTACAGTTTGTCACAATGCCTTCCTGCTCATAATTATCATACTTTATTTTGAACACATCCTGAAACAGTGATAGCGTTAAGTGGCAACTAGATGGGCGAGTGAGGAAGTAGCTCAAATGATAATCTGCTTCCTTGCTTTCTGATAAGGTAATGAAACACCTTCTAGAACATATCTCGATTTTTGAAAACAGATTTCAGGTTATTGGAGCTCACAGTATCTGCATGTCGGTCCATCCACAGTTTGTTGTCATCTGCACATCGCTCATGAGCTGCCTTTGTGTTTCTTTCCCACGTTTATCATAATGTTTTGATGTTACGGTCTTTTGCCTCCTGACTGTGGATATCTTAAACATGAAATCTACAGTGCTTTTAATACCTATTTTCATCAACTACTTGCCAGCTGTTGAGACAACAGCTGACTTTTCTTCTGTAGTATAAGGGCAGAGCCTTTGCATTGGTTTACAGCTGTCAAGAGCTTCTGATTCTGCTCCCTCGCTGCCTTGAAAACCCACGTCCCTTATTACGTAAAATAGCCCAGCTGCTCTCTGGTTTTTAACAGGTGATGGGGAAGAGTTCCTGACAGAATAGTGAATATTCGGACCAATTAGAAGGGAAGCTTGGTGTTGGCTGACAGCTTAGATCAGATGTCAGGGTTGAGTTCAACCATTGCTATGCTTCCACATATTAAAAATCATTAATTGATGTTTTTATTTATAATTAAACCCACAAAGCTTAAGAGCTGCTTGTTGGTATGTGGGCAGGTTTTCTCGCTTTCATCATACATTTATTTCTATTTTCATACATCATACACATATTTTTTGGGAACTTGATAATATTGACTTTAAGACAGCTCAGACTAGTGCAGATTTAATTTTTCTTTATCCAGTGCAAAAGCGACTTGCTGTTCCCTTGCTAGGATTATATAGTTATCATTTAGCCCTTTTATAGCCCATTTTACAGTACAGCATTATTTCTTCCTAATTGAGATTTCAGTGTGTGTTGTATGACTGCTCATGGTTCAAAGTAGAAATTAGTTCTTTTCACTGTTAAGAGGATTACTAGTAGTACAGCATCAGCATCCAGCATACACTTATGGGAAAGAAATTCTTCCCAGTATATAAACCAACCCAAATTTAAAATGCTTACTGCATTAACATGTTGCCTTCTAAACAAATAATATATGTGATAATATAATGGTGTGAGATTTTCTTTATTGAAGGAAGACGCTTAAACTTACTTCTGTATGTCTAAGAAAAATTCTTACGAAAATATGTGCTTCTGGTGAATAATAAATAATCACTTTTTAAAGCTAAATTTATCTAGGCATTAATTTGGTACATGTTTTTGAGTTTGGGTTCTCAGAATAGGTCAGGTATGGGCTACATCGTGAGGTTGCAGTAGTGACCACAGCATACGAAGAGATGTTCTGTGGCAGCTCTATGATGCTTTCATAAAGAGATGTGTTCAGTGCTCTCCTGAGTGCACACCAAAATGTGTTTGTGTGATGATGATATGTGTAACATAGATTCCACAAATACCTTTTATTCTTTCTGGAAGTTCTAGAAACACCCGGTTTATCCTTGCAAGCATTTCTTTAACCAGAGACTTAATAAGAAAGGAGCCAGTAGCAGAAATATTTAAATTAATAGTATTTTTAGAGAATGTAAAGCCGTTCAGTATAAAACAGTCTGGATTGTGTTTTAAAGACACTTAAGCTACGGACAGTCTTCAAAAGGAAGATGTGGCCCCTCTATTCGAAGCCCTCTGAATGGCGTGTTGTGCAAATTCTCCCATGTGTGCAGCAGTGTGGCTCACTGAGCTGAATCAGTCACATTTGCCCATCTCTGTGTTTTAGCAGTTAGAGCAAGTGCTGTTGCAGAGTAAATTTTTTTTGTCACTCTTATAGATTTTCAGATTACCTTCTAAAGCAGACTCATGGCGAGTTGTTGAAATGCTTCATTTCAGAGAGTTGCATGTGACCAGGCATGCCTTAAATTGGAAACTTAAATTAAATTACTGCTTATGTAACATTTCTTTCCAGCGCTGAGTCTAATGTCTATTGCTTCCTGAGCACTCATCAGGGATTTTATTTCCACCGTCTTAGTCCATTTATTGTTTCTTGAAGGTAGTTTAAGAAACACATTTCACTACGGTTTTGTAATCAGTTTGACTTAACAGAAAACGTTGCGTTAATACTAAACTATCAATTGTCTCTTGGTGGAATTTGATAAGGCCTGGTTTATGGGTCCACCATACAATGTATTTATAATGGTTCTCAGCTACAATATTGAGTCAAAAATCTTAAGTACTCTCTCTATTTGGACAACTTAAATTAGCTATTTTGTGTTTGTCTAAAAATAATCTTCCTTCTTTGAGAAACCAAGCGGTTTTTCATCTGAAAGGTACACCTAATCAATTTCAAAGAGAAGAAAAAGAGAGCCTGCGTCCGTTTTGAACATTATTCCTCCTCGAAATGTTCTGAGGACTGGAATTTATTTCACGGTTGCAGCTAAGCAGGCTTCTGGGCTGAAAGGAAGGGGATGAATAGTGTCTAAATCTACTTTAGAAGAGAGCTTGTTTATCGAGCTCCACCTCATTTTCTTTTATCTGTCACTGTGTAAATAATAGGTAGAATTTCTTGGTTCATTGTATTGTACGTGCACAGCATACAGCTTAGCATCAGCTAACTGTAGCAATTTTTATTCTTCCTCGGCTTTTCTATTTTTTTCTGCACTCCCTTGCCCATCTCACCTTTCTTGCAGTGTGATCCAATCAGCGGTAGGTACTTTGAGCAGTTAGCTTCCTAATGCCTTTCACATTCACACATGTATCCTGGAAATGAAGTATGGGTCTCTTTAGGCATGAGATAAGGTGAAGTTTTCTATTGGGTATAAATAGAACTTTTTGGAGCTTGGAATATTTTGGTCAGCATTTATTACCCTGCTAAATACATTCATAAGGTTTAATTGTATCTCGTGGCACTTAGCAAACATGCAAACATATTAAGGATTGAAACAGCATGGAAATGTATTTTTGTCTTTTGGAAAAGGAAGTTCTGTAGTGGGCAGTTTTTGGATCTGTGGTGGAACCATGATCCCAGAGACGTAAACTCCAGCCTCTCCTCTTTCTCCAACATCTTTTCTGTGAGTTCCATTCTCAGCATCATAGGGTAGCTTCTGGTGTAATCACTGTCTCCTGTGCATTCGTATTTCAAGAAGGAAGCAAAACAGAGAGAAAACGGGACTATTTTACCAGCTGAATCAGGAACATTCTGTGCAACACTTAAGATAATTAACTTGGACCTCCTAATACAGCCTCACCTATCCTATGGGAGAGTGGAAGGTCTTCCTTTGGCTGAGGGTGTTGTCCACTAAATAGCAAAACATGGGGGTTGGTTATAGCCAGTTAATTAGCAATTGTGGTCCTTGCTCGAGTACTTGGTGAGTTCGTTGGGAAAGATTAGGTCCAGGTTCGGTTAGATTAGGTTAGGTCATTGCTCCTGAGCTTGATGAATACTAATCTGATTTCTCTTTCCTTTTCTTTCAACTGGACAAAACAATGTCATCCTCGTAGTTGGTGTACGAGGATTTAGGAAGATAACAATGGTTGTTTAGAAATAGTTACTTTATTATTAGAACAAGACTATCACAAAAGTCTCAAGTCTACATCTTAATGGTGATCTGCGTTATTCTGTGAATGTCTGCATTAGTGTCTAACAGGGGCTTTGCTTTGCAAGTGATACATCTGTGTCTTTTCTCTGTTCTGCAGCGTCTTATACTGTGGTGTGGTCATTTTCTTTCCTTCAAGTCATATGCACAGCTGAGAACAAGGTCTTTATCACTCTTTGATCTGAAGAAAGATTTGACAATGGAATGCCACTAAAACAATAATTGTAACTAACGGAGCAGAACGCTCTCTAGGAAAGAGTGTCAGGACCTTGGGTACGTAGCAGGGCCATGGAGCAGTTTCATCAGTTGATCTGAGGTCCTTCATCCTTCTAACATAGTGTCGTTCTAGCCCTCTTCACTCCAGCGCTTTCACATGCTCCTCACTTCTTTTGCTGTTTGGCATCTTTATATGTAGTCTGCGAGGTGGTGACGTGGTAGCTTTGACGATGCTCTTACAATTTATACCATCTCTTGCTGTTGTCTGGGATTTTCATTTGTCTTTCTTGAGTTCGAAGCCTGGCAGGTTATTCAGGTGTAACCACTTCTAGTAGATGATCCAGACAGTAAGGGAGTTTAGTGATACATTAACACGGTTGTGCACGCACACTTGTTATTTCCACATGGGCAGTTTGTTAGTAACGTTAGAGTTCCCCAA